CACAGGCAGTATGAGAAAAATAAAGAGCTTTTTGAACATTTAAAGGTGGGGTAGGTAATTTTGGAGAAACCAGCTCGAGTGCGCTAGAATTTGAAAATACACAGCCGGAAAAAATCTGCCACTTCCTTACAGAGCCCCTCCTCCAACAGACACGAACGCGCACATGACCAATGGGGGCACGAGATAAGTTTGTGCCCACATGGAAGGCTGACAGGCAGGTAGGCCATCCAGTTAAAGTTAATTAAAAGTGCATTAGATTTGATACCCATTAAAATTATGAAAATGAATTAGAAGATAAAATGACGTTGTTTGGAAGTCTTTGCGGAAAACTGAGTCATACTGGCCTTGTCGGTGTCGGTGATGGCGTATGCGTGACCTTTTATCAGCCCGTTTCCTGTCACTTTACCGATTTCAAGGTAGCTGCTGGCCTGTGAAGACAGAGAGAAGAGCTGAAGTGGCTCTAAGGAGCATCGAGCAGTGCAGAGTGAACTTCTGGAGGTGTGTTGTTTACCTGGATGAAGCAGCTGAGCAGGCTTCCTCGAGACAGGGCGGCTGTCAGAGACCTCCAGAGGACTCGAGGGGTGCAGGATGAGACCTGCAGCGAGTATGCGATGCCTCCTGTAAAGTCCTCCATCCCCTCTGAGATGTTGCCCCCCTTCAGGCTTCCGTATGATCCGACTAACCTACAAACGATCAAGTGAGAAAGAGTATTTGTATCACTGCAGCAACACACAGAGAAAAGAGTGGGTGATCAGGGGCATTACAACCCTCAAACATATGCTTGGTAGTGGAAACTGACTTGGCGTAGGCCTTCTCCACCAGGGCGCTCCAATACTCATTACGGGTGTGAGAGTAGCTGAAGAGCAGACGGCCTTCACGCACTGGCAGCCTGTCGTCCACAACCACCTCCACCCACTCACCATACTGCCAGAACTGCTCAGGGAGAGGGAGGGAGAGATAGAGAAGAAACTGGTGTAATTTATCAGGAGGAAGGTTAGTCAGGAAACAAACCTTAACCTAAACAGGCAACAACATCACAGGGATTATTCAGCATAATCTCTGGTCAATACATTTAGCCTTAATCATTTTTTTTAAAAGTAGAAAGGTTTTGTTTCCTCACTTTTGTATTTTTTGGATATTTTTGTTGTAGTGCAATATGCTTGTTGAATAGTGTTTCTGTGAATTATATCCACCCAGTGGACATGGCCTTATGTATGTATATATATACATATATATATATATAACAGACAAATATATATATATATACGTTTATCCAAACTTCATCTAACATGAGATAGGAAAGATCATCTAACTTTT